AAGGAAGAAGAAGGGGAGTGGCGAGGAAGAAGTGTCGGCACCCATAGCTGACCGGAGAGTTGGCCGAGAGGGTTGACCGGAAGCGTTCATCGGAGTTGACCGAAGTTGACCGAGGGTCATAGCAGCGTTGACCGGCGTTGACCAAGGCCGTTGACCAAGGCGTTGACCAAGACCTTGACCAAGCTGGAGTTGGTAACATCTCGCCAAGCCCTTAGCCTGCCCTTGCCCTATGGATGTGCGCATACCCCTGGTACTTGCTGAGTACAGTCTGTCTGTCTATTCTTTCTGCATTGAGTCTCTTCTGTCCTAGGTCATAGAACTCTGTGGATGAAGGATAGGGCCTTGCTGCCAAACCTGCACGGGACTTCGTAGGACTAATCTCTACTCTGGTATCTGGAGACCTGGGCATGAGCGGCGAGCGCTCGTTAAACAACTCGTCTAGCCCAATGACCGGTACTGTCCGACAGGTCTGTTCAGTTTCAGTGTAGAGGGTCTGAACTCCGAGCTGCAGGCTGAAATGGAGGCCGTCGTTAAGTGTTGAGGGCCTGTTGGAACCACTCCCCTACCAGACCAAGTAAGGCTGATGACCTGTGTCTGACGACTCGACTGTCCCGGGGGATACGAACCCTCCCAAGGACCGGTAGAGACCGGCGGGCTGCTCGGTGTGGCACAGTAGGCCGGAAAGGCAGAGTTGTCGGCTAAAAGCACAGGCAGAACCAAGATGATCACGTCGTCCTGTCTGCGACGTTAAAGAATTCTTGAGGAGTTACGGGGGATCTCCTTAAATGCCTCCTGATCAGCCACTGGTTCAGGAGTGACAGCCATAGTGTAGGTCTAGGCTAGAGACCATGGTTGACAGGATCCCTGTCAGGATTCTGTGAGTCTTAGATTGAGTCAGTAGGTCTGTCAGTCAGGGGTTGACGTCTACGTGGTGAGGTTTGGAACCACTAACCCGGTTGTACACTTATCACCATGGTTGAGACCCGTAGTGGGAAGGAGACTAGCCCCTACACCACAGAGCAGCAAGAAAAGATGGCCGCCTTAGTCAGAGAGAATAAGGAGAGGAAAGAGCGTGAAAAGCAAGCCAAGCTAAAGGCTATCGTAGACGAGCAGGCGGCGAAGATGAAGAGATTGGAGGAGGAGATGAAGAGGGTACAACAGGAGGAGGAAGAAAAAAGGAAGGCTGCTGAAGCAGAAGCGGCACCAGAAGAAGAGAAAGAGAGGATGAAAATTGAGAGTGGGGAAGGAAGTAGTGGTGGCACGATGAAGTGGGAGATAGATACTGAGCTGGAGAAGAAGATCAGCGAGTGGGTCACTAATTTATCGTTGGGGGAAGACGAGGAGGCGGAGTCCTATGTAACTAAGGATGAGAAGGCTGCGCTGGCCGCTGAGCTAGCAGCCATGCCAGACCCAATCGAACGAAGAGAGAGGGAAGACGAGCAAAAGTTAGCATGGAAGTTGAGAATGAAGAGGGAGAAGAAGAGGAGGAGAGAGGAAGTGAATAAGATGACCGCCGCAGTGGCAAAGGTGCAGGAGTGTAGAGCGGAGGTGCTCGCCCAACCAGATGATAAGGCCAAGTGGGACAAAGTACTGGGCTGTCTAGAGGTGTTGAGCAAGGCCTGAATGGAGAAGCGCCATGCAAACTGGAGTCAGGATGTAGCGTTGAGTGCCATGCGGTCCGGGTTCAGGGATTTTGCGCACGAAATCGTCACCCATATTGGGGGCGAAGTCAAGCAATTGAGAGACAACGTAGAGAAGTTTTGTGAGGGCGCCATTCAGGGTGCCAAAGCTGCAGCCGTTGTAGAAGGAGAGGCCAGACCCCGTAAGGACCCTGTGAAACTTAAGTTCCCAGACGCGTATGGGGGAAAGAAGGACGAGAACTTCGACAACTGGGAGGCCAGTGTCAATAGTTACATCTATTTACAACATATCCTGATGGAGGAGCAAGTCCTCGTGGCCTTCCACGCCCTGAAGGATGAAGCGGCTAGCTTCGCCTGGTCTCTCGCGCGTACAGCCGGTTGTGAAAACAACCTGGTTGCATATTCTAAAGTCACCCCGCTTTCCCAATTCCTCAGGCTCCTCAAGGAGCGTTTCGCTGACCCAACGAGAGGCATAAGAGCCTCTGACAAGCTTCAAACGATTCACTCACGACAGTAGAGGAGTGCCAAGGCACTCAGGTGTACCATGGACGACTTGGTTGCCATCCTGGACCATGGGGTCACTGAGCCCCAGCTGGTTCAGTTGTTTTATCATGCCATTCCAGAGGCCCTACATGGACATTTCTTTGATAAGTCTCGGCAGAACGGCATCACATACGATCAATTGAGTCGCGAAGTCATCCTGTATGAGTCGAAGTCTATGCCAGTTACCACTTTCTGGCATAAGGACTTAGAGAAGGGGAAGAAGTGGAAGAATCGTACCATCTCAGGCCAAGTAAAGACCAAGGATCACATGATCCTGACATTAGAAGAAGGTGGTACCGATGAGGTCCCTTATGACCAAATTGAGTGGGGCCTTGAAGATGATGGCAGCAGTGTGGGGCAGGGGAGGTCTTACGCTGCTGTCGCGGCTGGAGGGAGGCCGCACGGAGGAGGAGGCCAAGACCAAAGGGGCCAGGCCATGGGAGGCCGAGGACCGGGCGCACAGGGGGTTGGCGGACAGGGAAACCGCCAAGCGGGAGGTAGGGGTCAAGGTCCCCCGTCAAATCGCCAGGGTAATCGGTCCCCACAACGAAGAGGTGGAAGGGCACCTCAAGGAGGTTGGCACCCAGGCTTGCCACAGGGCAGGCCCTGGGAAGACTTGGGCTTGGACCGACAATTATGGCAGGAACGCGTGAACATGGGTCAGTGCGTATTTTGTGGTGACCTGGCGCACGTAATTAAATTTTGTCCTAAGTATAGACAGGCCCGTTGGGCTGCCCAACAGTCAAAAGGCAGCTGCCAGTAGGGGTTGCAACTGCCCCTACTTCAAGGCCATGTGGAGAAGTGAGCGCGCACGAACAGAACACTCCCAACCCACATGAGCCTATGGCAAAGGTTGCAGGTCCGTGCCTAGATAGTTGTTCAGAGACCGCCTGTGTTAACGTCTCTTTAGGCACGTCCCTCACAGGTGTGGCAGAAGAGTTAAAGGAGAGGATGCCAGCTTGGGCCATAATGACAAAGGAGATCAAGGGACAATTGATTTTGGTAGATGTAGAGGTGTTAAGAAGTAGAGTAGGGGCCCTTATAGACTCATGGGCTACCCGTAGTTATATCAGCCGTAGGGCGTTGAAGAAGTTGAGGCTGGGACTAAAAGTCCAGAAGTTAGTAGACCCCATAGTTAGTGTCCTCGCAGACAACCGCACAATGCGAGTTGAGGACTACGTAGAAGGAGTCCAGACGTACTTTCGCCTAGAGAAGGATGGGAAGGTGGAGAAAGTTCTCCATTCCCTGACTCTCCTCGTACAAGATGACCTTCCTTTTGATATAGTGTTGGGAATGGATTGGGGAGAGGCAACAGGGGCCACACTTCATTTGGGAGAGCATGAGTGTAGGCTCTCTAGTCAGGCGGGCGAAGTTAAGACTGCCCGCTTGTTCATGTGTCGGGTGTAGACAACACCTTGGCACATTGTTGTCTCAGTGCTCCCGCGTTCGCGCAATTAGTCAAAAAGGAGCAGTTAGAAGACCAGGTCTTTGTAGTTTCTGTGAGACCTGTCACTGAGGGCCAGGAAAAGGATAGTTCCACAAATCCAACAATTGCCAAGCTGCTGGAAGAGTTCAAGGATTTGACTGAGTTGCCGACAGTAGTAGTGCCGCGACCCATCTTGCACAGGATAGAGATAGAGCCTGGCAGTAGAACTCCTAAGGGTGCAGTCTACAGGATGTCCCCAAGAGAGTTAGAGGAGCTTCGCAAACAGTTAGACGAACTCCTTGAGAAAGGTTGGATCAGGCCCAGTTCGTCTCCTTTTTGAGCACCCGTTTTGTTTGTCCCCAAGAAGGAAGGAGAGCTTCATATGTGCATAGACTATAGGGGTCTGAATGCGATCACCGTGAAGAATGTTGAGCCGCTGCCCAGGATAAACGATCTTTTAGATCGGGTGCAAGGTTGTAAGTATTTCTCGAAGATAGACTTAAAGTCCGGATACCACCAGATAGAAGTTCATCCTGATGATCAGTATAAGACTGCATTCCGAACTCGATATGGAAATTATAAGTTTATAGTGATGCCCTTTGGACTAACCAACGCGCCAGCTACTTTTCAGCGTTGTATGAATGACCTGTTTAGACCGTGGTTAGATAAATTTGTAGTAGTCTACTTAGATGATATCCTAGTCTTTAGTAAGACTCTTCGGGAGCACCAGGGTCATCTGAGGCAGGTCTTGGGGAAGCTTAGAGAGGCTAACTTCAAGATCAATGCGAAGAAGTGCGAGTGGGCCAAGACGCAAGTCCTGTACTTGGGCCACATATTAGACGGAGATGGCATTAAGCCCGGGGACAGCAAGATAGCGGCGATTAGAGATTGGCCGACGCCCCGCACATTGACAGAGTTGCGATCGTTCCTAGGCTTAGCTAACTACTATAGGAAGTTCGTGAGGAACTTCTCTACTATCGCCGCTCCCTTGCGCAGGTTACTGAAGAAAGAGGCAATCTAGCAAGGGGACAAAGACTGTACGTCTGCGCTCAAGAAGTTAAAGCGCGCGTTAATAGAATATCTTGTCCTCAAAGTAGCAGATCCGTCCTTGCCATTTGCCGTTACCACGAACGCAAGTCAGTATGGGATAGGCGCCGTGTTGTAGCAAGACGACGGCAATGGCTATAGACCCGTAGAGTTCATGTCAGCGAGGATGCCCTGTGAGAAGGTCGCAACCTCCACGTACCAGAGAGAACTCTACGCTCTCAGGCAGGCTTTAGACCATTGGAAGCACTATCTGCTTGGGAGACACTTCAAAGTGTATTCCGACCACGAGACACTTCGTTGGTTAAAGACACAGGCCAAGATGACACCTAAGTTGACTAGGTGGGCCGCAGAGATAGACCAATTTGACTTTGAGCTCAAACCAGTGAAGGGCAAGTACAATGTAGTTGCGGATGCCCTGAGTAGGAGATCAGACTACTTTGGAGCCGTAGTACACTATCAGGATATAGGGAGAGTCTTGCAGGAGAAAGTGAGACAAGCGTATATGCAGGACCCTATCTATAGTGACCTCCTAAAGAGAGTTAGAGAGGCCCCAGAGACCGAACCAGATTACCGCACTACAGACGGGTTGCTGTTTAAGAAGACTAGTGTGTTTGATCGCCTGTGCATTCCCAACAGCGAAGAGATTCGTAGTCTGATTCTAGGGGAATGCCACGATACTGAAGGGCATTTCGGTTGGCAAAAGACATTAGCCAACCTGATGCGTGCGTATACCTTGTCAGGGATGAAGAATCACTGCATAGAGTATGTCCGCAGTTGTAAAGTGTGCTAGAGGAATAAGTCTACTACACGCTCGCCCCTAGGTCTTCTTAGACCCTTGCCTATTCCGGATCAGCCGGGAGACTCAGTGTCTATAGACTTCATGGACACGCAAGTCAAGAGCAGACATGGTAAGAGCCAAGTCATGGTCATAGTCGACCGTTTTAGTAAGTATGCAGTTTTTGTTCCTTTGCCTGCAGAGGCACGTATCGATTTAGTAATATAGAAGTTCTTTGACTTTTGGGTTAGTGAGAATGAAATCCAATTGTCAATAGTTAGTGATAGAGATAGTCGTTTCACCAGCCAGAACTGGCAAGAACTCATGAGAGTCTACGGATCTAAGTTGTTAATGTCGTCCGGCCGTCACCCAAAGACTAACGGTCAGACAAAACAGATGAACAAGATCCTACAGCAAGTTCTGCGCATGTACATTAGACCAGATCAGATTAACAGGGATGAGATGTTGCCTAAGGTAGCTAGTGCATACAACAACAGCGTGCATCTATCCACCTGCCGCACTCCCAATGAGTTGCACAAGTCCTTTAGACCGCGCAGACCGTTCGAAGGACTGAACCGGGATCAGATTCACAGATTACCGCCCAGTACTAGGGAGTTTGCGATACAGCATGAAAAGGAATTAGCCACTGTTGTTGAGAACCTTCGGAAGGCCCAGCACAAAATGATAGAGCAGGCTAACAAGCACCGTCGCCCATCACAGTTTCAAGTAGGCGACTTAGTCTGGGTCAAGGCAAAACAGTTTGCACCGGAAGAAAACATCTCGCAGAAATTACTGCCTGCATATAGAGGACCGTGGCCGGTTCTAGAAGTCAAGGGTGGAGAGGATGGACCGTTCTACAGCATTGAGATTCCAGCACACCTCCACACATACCCTGTGTTCCATGCTTCAAAGCTGCTGCCGTGTGTCACTAGTCAACAGTTCCCTTCCAGGAGATCCATGATCCCACCGGATATGGATGGGAGCTATGACATAGAGGGCATCGTAGAAGAGGATGTGTTTAGGACAGGAGGTAGAGGTCGTCCCCAGAAACAGTATAAAGTCCAGTTTGCCTATCAGGAGCCGGAAGACGACCGCTGGTTCACGAAAGCAGAACTTCTAAAGACTGCTCCCGACATAGTCAGAGCCTATGAGCGTGACAAGAAAGGTAAAGGTCCCGCCTTGGACTAAAATTTTCTCAGAGGACCTCGAATTTAGGACGGCGGGAGTGAAACGGTTTTCACCTTTTAGCAGTAGCGGATGCAATACCCAGGGTTCGAT